TGGTTGTGTTATTACATCAATGTATGTGAGAAAATTTGGCCATAGAATTTCTGAGCCAATTCACGTTTCTCATCTCACTTTCAGGAGAGAATTGTGGCTCCTAAAGAAGTGGACTCTGACAGTGTGAGACAAGAGGGAGAAGATGATGAAGAAGAGGGTGAAAATGTAGAAGAAGCACATGAGTTGTTAGCTGGAATTAAAGAAAGCATGGAGCAGAATGCAGGTAGGAAATAATAAGTACTAAAGCGGCATTATCTTTCTACTTCTTTATATATATATATATTTTTTTTGTTTGTTTGTTTTTTTCCACTCAATTGTATTTATATCTCTGTGTGTGTGTGTGGATAAGTATATATATGTAATCACTCTGTATTCAGTATCTTTAGATCCTTAGCCAGATCTTTTTTTTTGTCAGGTTTTTTTTTTTTTTTTCTCAGAACAGAGTGCACAATTCAAATAATTCAAAGTAAAAGGTGAAGTATGTCAGTGTTGAATTTGTGAAGTAAAGTATTCCAGTAAGAAAGAAGAGTACTGGCAGTATTTAGTCTTCACGCCCTATTTTGTTGTTAAAAATGATAATGCCTTTTAAGATGTAACGTATTTTAAAGATAGTCTTAACTATTATAAACTAATGCTACTAGTAGCTGAAGCAAAACAACATAGGAAACTGGAGGCAATGGTTGCAAGAGGATAAAAACTAGGTAACAACAAACTTTTTTACTACGGTATACTTTCTCAATAAGTAGCTTAAATTGATGAGTTACTTTCTCTCTCAGTCTATTTATCTGTAAATAGAACTTGTAAAGCCTACTTCACTTTATTTTGTCTTACTTTAATTCTGTTAGTTGTAAAAATAAAACATTTGGTTTGTCACATGCTTTTTTCTTTTCTTTTTACATAGAAGTCTGACTGAATTATTCTAAAATATCTAATTTCATGTTTTGTATCCTTAAAGCTCCAATGTTTGTATGATTGCAACATTTATATAGTTGTAATTTTATAGCTACATATATAGCTTTATATTCTCTAAATACAAAAGCTATCCATATATAGCTTTATATTCTATAAACCTTTAACAGCACGTAGAGATTTAAAATATGGGGGTTTTTTTGTAGTCTAAAAAATTGTCTCTTCTAATAGAACTGTTAGTAGAATAATTTCAGATATTCTTTTTTTCCATAAGCTAGGTACTTAATAACCTTCTTTTTGTTTTAGGTCGTCTAGATGATCACTATGTTATTAAACTCTTTGAAGATAAGCTTAAATCTATGCCTTGTAGAAATCAAGGGTATGTTTTGGATGGGTTTCCAAAGACCTATGACCAGGCAAAAGATCTTTTTAACTGTAAGTACTTCTGCTTTTGTTTTTATTGCTGCTAGTACTGTCATAACTTTTATTTTTCTCAGTATCTTATTAGTTTAAGTGTATCAACACTGTTTTGACTGCAGAGCAGAACACAGTTGCTTTCATGTGATGCTTTAAAAATTGAAGGATTGTAATGGATTGTTAAACATATTAAGCAAGATGTTTCTGAAATGACCTTGGCTGGCAACATACTAAATAAATACACAAATAAGAACGATACTTTCCATGTTGAACCACTCTACACAAGAAAGCTTTAAGACAGATTTTTCTTCATAATATACAAGAGCTACTTAGTGAGGGGGTTCAGCCAATTCATGTTCTGTGAGTTAGAGTGGGTGTATTACATGAGCTTCAAGGGATGCAACGTAAGTGGAATTCTGCAGTATATGTTTCAAATGTTAGCCAGCACTGTCTATGTATGAAAAGCAAGAATCAACTCCATAAATTAAAGGATAGGATTTTAAGAAAAACAAAATCTAGTCTTGTTCATCTTAATGTGGTTGGTTATAAACCACCTTGTTCAGCTGATACTCATCAAGGAGTTGAGCCAACTGGTGGAGTAGAGCAGACAGCATCATAAACCATTTTAACCACACCGTTCCAAGCCATTTCTACACGCTGTTCCAAGCTGCATCTCTTTGGTGGAGGAAAATATAAAGCAGCAGGAGAGGCCAGGGACAGAAAAGTAGTATGGACATATTTTGTAGCTGCATATGCAAAAGAATGCTTTGCTGAATAGTTAAACAGCTATTAGTGTCCTGTGATAAATTTGTGGTGGCTGAAAGCATGGGTTCCTTAACAGCTCTCTCTAAAGCAGTGTACAGTTCAGATTATTCAAATTATCATTATTGTTGGGAATTATTTTTTAAACGGTGTTTGTATAGGAGAAGTTATTTGTAAATACAAAAGCATTGCTACTTCAAATGATAATCTCAATTACATATTATTTTTGTTTTAGTGAAAGAAGAAGAAATTACAAACAAAATTCCTAAATATGATGAAATAATCACACCTGGTAAGTTTGACTTAAAAACAAACAAATAAACAACAACAAAAAAAAGCTTTCAAATATTGCTGTCACCAACAAGAAGTCCAAAATATCACTCAATCTGTTCATGTTACATTGAAGATAAACAAAATGTCTTATTCATGAAACATAGTTGCTGTAATATTTGAAAGTGAGCAATTAATGAAAATGAGAGTTTTGACTTCATTTGTGTGTTCTTATTCCCTTCTTCTTGTGAAAATGCCATCAGCTGTTGGTTTATATTTACGTTATGTATCTATTTGTGTACATTTGTGACTTCAAATTTATTATTGAAAGAAGATAGATGTGAAAGAGGAAAAGTCAAGGATAATGTGTTCTTCTTCACAGAATTTGTGATATCTTTGACTGCACCGGATGAATTTCTTAAAAACAGAATAATAAATCTGCCAGAAAGCGTTGTTGCTGGAACTCATTATACTCAGGACCGGTTTCTGCAATCTTTGAATAACTTCAGGGAGATAAATGCAGAAGATGAAACTGTTCTCAACTATTTTGATGAACTTGAAATACATCCTCAGTTTATTGGTATGAAATAATAAAATTCTTAGCTGAAGTATGAATAAAAATTCCTATTGTCACAAAATTTGAATTTGAAAAAGTATATTACATATATAAATAGTATTTTCATTAACATATCAGAATACAACAAGTATTTAATTAAATACCTGCAAAAATATCTGTATGTTCATACGGATTCATTAGAATCTATAGGGAATATGTTTTATAGATCAGGTTTTGTTTTAATCATTTAGTTTTGCAGTCCAATTGGCAAATTAGTTATATGACATCATTTATGGACCTCTGCTCTTGCCATCTTTCTGGACTGGCATAGTAGTATATTGCTGTCCACTGAAGTAGGTAAGTATATAGCTTTATATAAAGACTGACTACAAAGATAACTTCTGTGAGAAATCTTCAACTCTGTCAGTACTTTTCCATTGTGGCTGATGCTGCAGTTGGTTTATAAGAAGTGCTGAATTAATATCATCAGATTTAAACAGATAACTGACTGAAGTCAGATTCTGAAGGAAGCTGTCTGTATTTACTGGCCTTAGTGGAAAATTGTTGAACTGTGTTGATTCATTAAATACTGAATCACATTAGTCAAATGTTTCTTCCACTATAATTGTAGAAGATCTTAACATATGGCCTTATGAATTACATTATAAGATTTTTTTTTTTTTTTTTTTTTTTCCTGAGCCTGAAATATGATTAGTACAAAGGAAGTAGGCTTCAAGATTCTGGAAATCATATTTCACTACAGTAACTCACTTCATGAAGTCTGCAAATCAGTTACCTTTGTGCATTGTCATTTTCATCTGCAAAGTGGAGATAATGGCATGTGCATATTAGATGATCTACAAAAAGGAATACTCAAGTTATAATAGTTTCCTTTTATCTTAATTTATGAGGACTTTTGGTGATCTTTTCTCTCCCTTAGAATCAAGGTTTTTATTTTTTAATTTAAAATATATCTTTAGTAGATACGTATTTAATTATGATTGCTGTAATATTCATGTTGCAGTCTTGCTTGGTCATCTGAGAAAAGGCTGTATTCTTTAAGTCCTCAAATTCAATGCCAAGAATGTTCTTAGCAGTATTTTAAGTGATTAAAAAGTTGTCTTGCACTGTGATTTTTATATCCAGCTGCAGCTAAAATTGCATTGAATTTATGTACTGATGGCATAAAAATACTTGTTTGGAATACTTCAGGAATGTAATTCTCAATATACTGAGAATGAAGAAGTCTAAAAGGAATTTCATTATGTAGAATCATGTTAGATTTCTACCTTGATTAATCACCAGAGTACAAACTTCAGATTCAAATGACAGACGTGCATGCGTAGAATAATTGTATTAGCTATGATTTAGTATCTTCTGTCTAAATTAGTGAAAGAGATGAGAAGAAAGAGTGAAAATACTGGAGTTTGTTGCCAATGCTAATGCTAGCAACCTATTATGTAACCTATGTGGAGATACAGGTTCAGAAGCTGATGGCTTTGTACCTGTAGTGTAGATAAGGTGATATTTAAGATTGGCCTAAGGAACATATCTGATACTAGAATAACTTCATTTGCCAATTTCAAAACTTAAAAAGCCTGCAAGTGTTAAACAGAATAGTTGTAAAAATAATTCTAATACATTTCTCCTGAGAAAGACACACTATTTTAGCCTAAATTAGTAAAGAAAATCAGATGTAGAAAATTTCATTTTGCTTTGGGGAAAAAAAAAAACCACAACAACCATTAATAAGCAACACAAAACAACATATAACAATTGAAAATTCTAACAGCATTAATACTATATATACTTAGGTCTTGCAGTTATTACTGGCTTGATAATTGAGAATAGTCTTGAAAGGTTTTCTCTTGTATTGTTTTAAAGATGTAGCCAAATATGAAGATTCTGAAAACAGATTTATAGTAAAACAGATCATCAAGGAAATTGGGGAACCACGAAATTATGGCTTGACAGATGAAGAAAAGGAGAGTTTGGAACGTAAAGCAGCTGAGGAATGTCTTGCCAGAGAAGCTAAAGAAGAAGCTGAACGGAAGCGTAGAGAAGCTGAGGAAAGGGCTGAAAGGATAGCAAATTGGGAAGAGTGGGTAAGTCAATACATATTTTTGGGGAAGACATTATTATTTGTGTGTTATAGAAAGTAGAAGCAATAGGGCTTCTAGCAGTGTTGTGTAAGAATACATGGAAAGGGTGGCATAAATTCTCTAATTCCTTATATCGTACTTTAGATCTGGCTAGCATCAGTCAATTCAATATTCCAGGCACTGTTGGAAAGGACTGCCTGAGGCAGGCTGAAGGATGCTTCAGCTTCACAGGATTTGCATATACTTTTTTTTTTACTTTGCCACTCCTAAAATATATTTTAGGCAAATAATGTGAAATGCATATTATAAGAAATTTCTTGTTCACACCTGAATCACAGCTAAATCCATGGTGGTTTGTTCTTTTTCCTTTTCATTCCCTTTCCACCAGAATGCTGTTCTTTTACAGTCTCCAGTTATAGCTACTTAAAAGGAAACTGACATTCTATAGAAAAATAATTTTCTTACATTAATATGCCTATACATATTTGTGGGAAAACTACAACCTGAAATTGCTCCTTTAATAGGTGCATTTAATATTGCTCTGATGTTGGTTTATAAGAGTTTCCTTCTGTGCTTGTTTTCAGTTTCATTTAAGAGTAAATATTGTTCTGTACTCTTCATAAACTTGCCTAAGAGATTAGTAAAGGTAGTTAACATATCTTAAACATTCTAACTTTCAAGAAAGTGAACTGCATTATGTAGAGCCAAAGTAGGTATTAAAGTAATATCTATACTCTATGCTTTTAAATAGGCAGGTGCTCAAGAAGTCTGTGCTATTACTCATTTGTCCTTGAGGCTGTACTTCAGCTGCAATTTGAGGAAAGTGACTTGCAGAGTTTATTCTGTAGCATTTCTGGACTCAGTTAAACAGGAAAACTTATTTTTTTCAAATAATTTATCAGTTTTATATGAATGGTTGCTTTTGTGCTATGCCTTGGATATGCAAAAGCAGTCTTCAAAGTCTCTTCTGCTTGCTGTATCTGTATATGACTAAGGCTACTAATGAGTAAGGTGAGAAGAGAGGAAAATAAACACATTTTTGAGTGATCTTTTAGCTCAAACTAAAAAGTGCAGTATTTTCTAGCCTATTTCCCAAATATCTCATTGAAATATGAGAACCTGAAAACTTTAGATGTTCTTTTAGGCGTTAAGATGAGAGGAATAAAATAATTTTGCCAGGAAGGTTTTCATCATGCTCTCTTTGCTGTCCTTAGTGTGTGCCATGTTCTCTAAATTTAGCAGTCCATATTTTTTCTGGTAACTGAGTTTTAAAGTTCTATCCGTGGCTTTTAACACTACTTTTTTTTTTTTTTTTTTTTTTTTTGTCTAGGTAGCCATCATTATTTAGTCAACTACTACTTAGTAACTTACTATTAATGTTATTCTTTGTTGCTCTGTAAATTATTTGTAGAATAAACATTTTGAGGAAGTTAAAAAACAAGAACAAGAACTATTGGAAGCCCAGTCCATTCCACTACGAAACTATTTAATGAGGCATGTCATGCCAACACTTATTGAAGGGTTAAATGAATGCTGTAAGATCAGACCAGATGATCCAGTTGATTTTCTGGTAAGATTATTATTATTGTACATTAGGAAAAACCCCAGTGAAAATATTAATGGATCAAAGACTGTTAATATAAGCACTTAAACTATTTTCAACCTACTTGCATTATAACCATTAATTATGTGCAATACAGGTGAACAGTGATTATTGCGAAAATTAATGTACCCTATAACTGTATGGGATCATTTGACATTGTATCACTGTATCAATCCCATTTTGCTATGGTGCTTAGGTTCTTCTGCTTTTTTTTTTTTTTTTTTTATGGTACCCTGCCAATTCTGCTGCAAGGCTGAGACATGTAGGAAGAGAAGCATCACTCTCTACTCTGCTTACACCCCTCTAGATACAGCAGTACTATTTGAACATTAGTCTTCAATGATCTCTTTACAATACACAAACAAATTAATGAGTGAATATAGCAAGACTCCCACAAAACAATTCCAGTTGCAAGGGACCTCAAGAAGTTACTTAGTTCAGCTTTCTGCTGAAAGTTGGGTCAGCGCTGTATTCCTGCAGGGATTCAAATGCTGTAAATGTGTCACTGTATGGATGTTCTTCTTGCTCAATTCCCTGGAAAGTTGTTGACAGGCAATCACTGTTTTTAATGAAGAGAAACTATCAACTCAATGAAAAGCTTACAGTGAACATTTACTGTAGGAGTAAGAGATCATTCCTACTTTCTGCATAACTTTGTAAGAACTGCATTATTCATAATACAGTCTTTTGAGTTCAGAAGTCAGGCCCTAAGGTACTTCCTATAATTTTTTGTGGAGTAATTAATAAATAAATAAAATGGGGTCAATGCTACCAAAAATGAGACAAAATGAGATGGGTGTATTTGTAAGAAGCTTCTTATAGGTATCCAACAGAGATGACATTTTAGACACATTTAATACTTTCTGCACTTTTTTTCCAGTATATTGTTGTTATCTTATGTACATTTTAAATCTGGAAGCTTGAAAATGACTTTGAAAATCTTCTGTTTGCAGGCAGAATATCTCTTCAAGAACAATCCTGATGTGAAATGAAATAGCAGTTTCTACAGCTGTTAGGATTTAATACTAAATAGAAAGGGAGAATGTTCCCAATGTTATTTACAGTAAAAATTCTTAGGCTTAGTTTTGTTCAAACACTATTTTTAAAATGTCCACTTTTTTACACTGTTCTAGTATGTGGCATTGAAGTTTTTAATAGTCCTTCTCCTGAAGTACTACACATTGATTAATACACAGATGTGTCTATTTCATGCATCATCTTCCAACTGTGAACCTTAAGAATCTGTGTTTTTTTTTTTTCTCCTGAATTTTTTCAGTTACATATTGTATTTAAACAGCATTTCTGCTATGATCCATAAAGGAAGTAAGCAGGAAGCCTGAGGAAAGTATTCTCTTTACACTTTTTTTTTGTGTGTGTATGTTTAAGTTCCTAGATGTTGCCAGTCCACATTACCACCTGAAGCAACTAAAGATGAAATAATTGGTTACTTTAGAAAAATATATAGTTTGAGACTGTCTTATTTTTACCCTTGCTTTAAAAAAATACAATGACACATATAAAAATGCTTTCTGTGTGGAACTGCTGTACATGCTATACATGCAGTACATGTACTTTCCTAAGAATAAATTTTTGAGCAGCTTGTGCAAAGCATAATTTTTTGTTTGTTTGTTTGAAGTTCAGAACTTGATCTTTGTGGATCACTTCCACCTCAGGCTAGTCTTTGAGATAGATGTAGTCTACTGCAAAGAGGGCTTTCATAGCTTATTATTAGAAAACAGTCTCTCTGCCCCGTGTGGGATCTAAAAAAGAAAATAGGTCTGATGTAGGTGAGAAGGGACGAAAGCCAGCCCACGCCTGAACAGAATTCTCTCTTTTATTCAACGGAACGAGGTGGAGGGACCTTCCGCAGGCGGCCCCTTCTCAAGCCTCGAGGGCCCTGGCACCGGCCACGGATGCGGGAGTCGAAATGCCCGCAGCCGCGCCGCATCAGTTTCCATGACAGTTAAAGGCTCCCAAGCCGGCCGGCGCCAGCGCGGAGCCTTTCGTCAGAGCTTCGCCGCTTCCCGTCATCCCCTTCAGCGGGGTCGCCCCAGCCTCGCCCCGCGTTAGCCCGGCGGCGCCGAGGTTACAGGCTGCCCCGCCACGCCGTGCGCACGCGCCGCCTCACGGCCGTTGGAGCTTTGTTTTCAAACCCCGGCGCACTTCTCGCCAGAACTACAGCTCCCAGGATGCCTCCCGGCCCCGCGGCCAACTGAACGTGCGCGGACCGGCTAGCGTGCGCGCCGTGCGGGGGTGGCCGCGCCGCTGCGTAGGTCCCCCCCCGTTCTAGAACGTTGCTGTGGTAGCGCCCGGGCGCCATGTTAGAAGGCCGGAGGGGAAGAGGAAAGTGAAGCGGCGGCGGCCGGGCCCGACGAAGGGCTTTCTCTTCCCTCCGAGCCCTCACCCCCGCCCCGGCCCCTACCATGGTCACGGCTCCCGCTTCCCGGCGGGGCGAGTGACCGGTCCGGAGGCGGCAGCGGTGGGGGAGGACGAAGAACAAGAGGAGGAGGGAGAAGGGGAAGACGCGGCGGCGACGGTGGTGGTGGTGGCGGCGGCGGAGGAGGAGGAGGAGCCGGAGAGACGATGCCGTTGTAAGTTGGAACCCTCGCGGAGCAACTTACGGGCCCGCGCCTCGCGACCGGCACTCGGCGCTCTCTGCCTCTCGCCCTTCCTCGCTCCCGGTCCCCGCCGGCCGCGTGCCCTTCCGGTGCCGCAGTGCGAGGGGCAGCGGGGCCGGCCCGCCCCGCTCCTGCCTCTTCCCCGCACCGGGGGAGACGCTGATGCGGCCTTTACTTTGTCGTGGTCTTTTAGCGGCCGGAGGGTGAGGGGACGTGCGCGGGGCTCTGGCAGAACGCCGGCTCAGGAGGCATTGAGCGGCAGCGCCGCGCGTGTTTATATCCCGCCGCCAAACGCGAAGCTTCCCTTTCCGTCAGGAGTGCCGGCGAAGTCTCTCCTACGGCCTCCGAGCGAACGATTTTCCCTCATCGTGCGGGCGGAGGAGACCGGGGCGGCGGTTCTCACGCGGTCCCAGCCCGGCCCCTGTCCTTGCGGAACTCCCCCGGCCCGCGGTGACTCCAGCACGGCGCTGCGGCTTACAGCGCCCCCTGCCGCCCCTCCCGCCGCCACGCGGGGCCGGGGCTCTCCTGCACGCAGCCTCGTGCCTGGGGCCCGCCGCGCCGGCACCCCGCCGGGGGCCTGCAGGGCCGGAGGGAGACGCGGCTCTGGTCTTGTTTCCTCTCCGCTTCCGTTTATTCCTCCCCT